GTCGATTATACGATGGAAGGCAGAGTTTTTATAATAGTTTGCAGTAAAAATATTCCTACGTCCGATAGATTGAATTTCAAATTGAAAAATAATATTAGAAAAGACTGGAAATTTGGCGATTCGTAGTATTACGTGTAACACTGTGTCTGCGGAGCCGGAAAATTGATCCCCGGATTGGTCTCAAAGGGAAGTTATTTATAAGTCAAAGAGTATCGTATCGCATCGTTCTTTCTTTATTCGAAGCACTCGGGAACGTTCGCTGTAAATATTTCCATTGTATCGCGATCAAGGAAAAACGATTCGTTTCAAGTTGTAACTATAATCGCATTTTCATCCATAACGAACAAGATGAAACAAGGTGAAAGAGAAGTCGTGTATGTTCTCAATTACTCCTATACGGAACAAAGATCAGAAGTTATAAGTTACAGTCATAAGGGGCGACTTAATTGAAAATTACCAAGACACTTGACATCACGCGTTGCTCGAGACCGAAGTTACGCGGATGTTTATATCGTCTGGGAGCCCCAGAGCAGCAGTTAAGGGTTAATATCGAGAGCACAGCGATGGTAAACGTTATAATAATACGAAGTTCCGACGTTCTCTAACCGTGACCATTCTACAAATTTCATCTTTAAACGGTCTTTATCGTGATCTGGTCCTGGTTTAACCAGTTGGCTGTTTTCCACGATTATACTCGTCATGAAGTGATGTCAGTATTCTGCGTTAAGACGAACCCCGTCGGTAATAAAATTGAAAAATAAAACAGTCGTTTCGTAACAGCTTAATTCTATATTATAACAGCCACACGTACTACGTGTTTGACGAGTATATTCGTCATAGCTTACTTTTCGCGACACACTTTTAGGTACGCGTTTTTCAAAGAGGTCGCAACGGCCAACTGCTGGACTTTTTTATTCCGACATTGAAATTTAACAAGAATAAATCAATATCAGCGGCAACTTCAATTCTAGCCTTGGCACGTAAATATAATATAATTTATCTTTAACGAAAATGAACGCAATTATTCGTAATTATTCGCGATATTATTTACTTATATATTTTTCTCTATGTTGTTTTACGTATCTGTTATTTGTAATAGACGAGATAGGACGAGAAAAATCAGCAGGGTTAATCTATCCGTGTAAAAATATTCGCAAATTTCCACGATCCAGCTATAACGCGCGATATAATTCGCCATTTGCTTAGCTCGCTTCGCCGAACGCCAGCCTCGCTAGCTTTGTCCATGAGGATCTATTAAGATTATCATTTTAATTACACGTTGGTTGATCGAACGGCCAACGAGAAACGCGGCCGACAATTTCGATTAAATAGCCGCTAGCGTTACCGAGAACACGGCTCGTGTAAAACAATTTCGCCAGACAATTTTAGTTATCGGATTTGTTCGGCGAGACGCGCAAACAAACCGGCTTTCGCCTCGTCAAAGGCTACGGTTCACGCGAAACTCGCGCCAGTTACAGCGTTAAGTTCCTTTGTAGTATTCACGGTGAAATCGCCAATTCATTTCCACCGTCTAACGAGAAAGACGAAACGGACGTATTCTCGGCGAACGCTTCCCTTTCGCGTCTCTCCCGTTCTTCGAATCGCGCTGCTTCAACGCAGTACAACCAGCCAGCTCTCTCGTTCAACAGCTGACAAATTGCCTGCGTAACTCGCTTGCCGCGACCTCGAGAACCATGTTTTAAGTCGAATGGTCGTCGGATGTTACGAACAATTGAAAATTATCTTCATTTTCCATATCGCTGGCGATCTGTTCAGTTTGGACAACATAGAACCGCTGGCTGGACGATTAGTTTGCATTTTAGCGAACCGCGTTTCAAGTAGAATAAACGGAGATCGTAGAATCGTCGATATTCGTCGGAGCAGTCGAATAT